GATGAAACTTGGAAATCATGCAAAGCCACACCTCTACTACTCTAACATCTCACCGTCTTAGGTGTCCTCTTCTCATCACTCCAATTTCATCTATAAATAAACCTTCTCTACAAGTTTTAATTTTATTACAAATCAAGAAGAAGTGAGAAGATTTTAAGTAAACATTTACTCAATATTATCTTACAATGGCGGATACACATCGTGTTGATCGTACTGATAGGCACTTGCAATTTCAGTCGCCGTACGAAGGCGGTCGAGTTAATCTTCAGTATGAAGGCGGTGGTGGCGGTGCCGGAGGTTACAAGAGCATGATGCCTGAGAGTGGCCCATCTAGCACCCAAGTAAAGTCTTTTTTACATTTTCATTTTTGGTAATTACATCTTCATGCATACAAAGCTAATGAAATGATTTTTGGGATCAAAGGAGACTAAGTTGTAAAGTATGGATTTTTCTTCTACTTTTTACAAAACAGATTATGAAATGATTTTTGACACTGTAACATGGTCCTCTCGATGTATATATTGCTAATTTTGAACCTAAAAATGGTCCCATCTACACTTTTTTTTTTTTTCCATCTACACATATTGTTACATGCATATACCTTTTCTTGATCTTATGCTTATTATGATTGTTAATTTAAAATTATTTTTGAGATATATATCATTTGAAGTGATCGGCTCGACACGGTTAGGTTGTCCTGATTTTATTATAACGATAGCTGATTAAATTTAATTTTTGAAATATCACCAAAAACGGCCCGGTCAGGATAGTTTTATGTTTATACCATATTATTGTTATGATTGTAAAATAAGTATGATGGTTTTGAAAGTTCTACTAAAATTGTCCGATCGATGGTTACATTACATTCATATACATGTTTTTTGTGATTTTATTATTATGGTTGTTAATTAAAACATTTTTGTCCAAAGGTATTGTCCCTTTTGGTGGGAGTTCCTGTAGTCGGTTCTCTACTTGCCTTAGCCGGTTTACTTCTAGCGGGTTCGGTGATCGGTTTGATGATCGCTTTACCACTTTTCCTACTCTTCAGCCCGGTTATAGTCCCAGCAGCTCTGACCATCGGGCTCGCAACGGTAGGCTTCTTGACCTCGGGAATGTTCGGTTTAACCGGGCTTAGCTCAATCTCGTGGGTGATGAACTATCTTCGTGGAACCAGACGAACTGTACCTGAGCAATTGGAGTATGCTAAGAGGAGAATGGCTGATGCGGTTGGGTATGCCGGACAAAAGGGTAAAGAAATGGGGCAGCATGTGCAGAATAAGGCCCATGATGTTAAACAATATGATATTTCTAAGACCGGCCATGATACTACCAAGGGTCACGAGACTACTCAGAGAACAACGGTCGTATGATGAGTTTGCTTCAATGGTAGTTATGTATTTTCACTATGATATGTCTTTCTATCAGCATTCCTGTGTTTTTTTCTTTCTTCCTTTTTGTATTAAGAATCATGTACTGTGTTTGTGTGTTTGTAAGCATGAAAGGCCGTATAAGTGTTTGTGGTAATATTTGAATGTTCAATAATTTCTTCATCCTCTGTGTACAAGAGAAATGCATATTTAGGTGCCAGAATATGGTTGTAGTGGCCAAAGTGTGTATAATGGACATTTTTGCTTTTGATGGCAACAGAATGAGAGACACGAGTCCTATTAAAACTACTGAACATCGAAATTTCAGAAACTACCAATAATCTCTGCAAGAGCAAGAACCTTGTGAGAAATGATGAAACCTCTTAGAATCTCTAATAACGAGTCTTCTTTTCTCAATCAATGATATTGCTTTTGCTGTTTCATGACAATCTCCACATATTCTAAGATTCTTCCTTATGATTATTGTCTCTATTTGACTAATCATCAAAAGTCCAAAAGCCATTGCAATCTTCTCACTGTGTTGATTAATCATTTCCTCCTTTACATCTTCATCAACATCATGTAACACAAACTCTGTTCTTGATTTATACCCTAATTCATTCTTCATCTTCTTTCTAATCTCTTTAAGCTTCTTCTGTATCTTCTCAGATTCAGGATGAGACCAATCTCCAACAACAAACTTATGAATCTTATTACCATGTTCAATGTAGCTACACCCTTTACCTCTTACAAGACCTTTCTGTTTCATCAGATTCCTTGTTCTTGAAGCATCTTTCCATTGACCAGAAGCTGAATAGATATTTGATAGCATTATGTAGTTTCTACCATCACAAGGCTCTAATTCAAACAATCTCTCCGCGGCTTTTACTCCGAGCTGTGTATTTCCGTAAACCCTACAAGCACCAAGCAAAGCTCCCCAAACACCAGAACTTGCTTCCATTGGCATCTCTTTGATCAATCTATAAGCTTCTTGAAGAAACCCCGATCGACCCATGAGATCGACCATACATGAGTAGTGATCTAACCTTGGCTCAATTCCATATCTTTTAGACATTGTTTCGAAATAATGCTTCCCTTCTTCGACAAGACCCGCGTGACTACAAGCACTCAGCAAGTGAGTGAAGGTTACATGATCAGGACTAATACCATAGTGAACCATGAGCTCAAAATGCTTGATTGCGTCTTTTCCATAACCATGAGTGGCATAAGCAGCAAGCATTGCTGTCCACGCCAAGCTATCTGGACACTTAATCTCCAGAAAAACCGTAGACGAATCCTCCAACCTCCCTAGTTTCGCGTACAAGTCTAATAACCCCGTCGCTATACACTTGTTTGCATTAAACCCACTTAACAAGATTAGCCCGTGAATTCCTTGCGCCAATTTCACTACCCCAATGCCTTCACAGACACGGAGAACAGCCAGAAAAGCCGCTTGATCAAGCGTATTCCCAATCCTTCTGCTCATGCTGAAATAAGCCAGACCTTCTTCAGCTAAACCGTTTAGCAAGTGAATCAAAATCATCGTATTCCACGAAACCAAATTCTTTACGCTTGAATCCTCGAACAATTTACAAGATGAAGTCAAATCTCCAGTCTTTCCATACCAATTAATAAGAGCATTAACAACTTTCACTTCCTCATCAAGTACACCAGATTTCATCACCAACCCATGAACGCATTGTCCCTCTTCTCTACTTCTACCATAAACACAAGCCGAAATAATCGACAAAAACGTAACTTCATTGGGTCTAAAACACATCTCAGATCTCATCATCCTAGATAACGCCTCAAAACATTTACCCAAATATCCTCTCTTTGAATACCCAGAAATCAAAGAGTTCCAAGAGACTAAATCTCTCTCAGGCATTTCATCGAACAGTTTCTCTGCACAAACTTCATGACCGAGTCTCAGGTAAAGCCCAACAAGCTGGTCCCCAATAAATCCATGTCGATAACTCACATTCTTAACTACTTTACAATGAAGTAAACGGCATTTGAAAATGGAGACGCAAGAGGTTATAGAATCGATCAATGATGAAACATTTGCCATCAATGATGATGCAACGGAGAAGAAGAAGATCGTTCTTGAACAAAACTAAGTCCGCACAGAAAGCTGACCGATACCAAAAATATGTGCTTTGAACATGAATACACATAACACATTTGCTTTATCCTTACTGTTAACGGGACATGAATTAATTTAGTTTAGATGGTAAACCAT